TTTTTTTTTTTTTAATCGAGCATTGAATAAAAAAATGATTTTGTATTGTTGAAGTGCAGATATTATTTTTGTCCAATAGCAGTCACCATCCTTGTGTTCCAACATCGTATCTGTGACTTAAGCGTATGTATAGTTTTAAAAAGCGAGGGCTGGTGAGTGACATGAGTCTTATTAATTCTGTATTTTCACAGCCCCGCTTTGTTCAGCAGAAAGGTCGGTGCTGTTGGACAGTCTGCGGCGGGATGGATGCGTGGCTTGAGGAGCCGACGATGAGAAGAAAGGAGCGTCAGCGCAGAGCTATGTGGAACTGGGTGGGAGTCGCGGCTTGGAATTGAAGCGGATTTACATGGGACAGGAGATGAGAGCCAATCTCTTTTTCGTTAATGGACGCTCCAGCTTCTTGTTGCTTTCAAACTTAGCTTGTAGCGGATGTGTGCACATTTTCAGCGTGACATCTTTGATCCACTGGTGAAAAGGACACTTTGATTCGCTCCTCTTTTATCGATAACTGCTTCAAACAAAAAAGTGTATGTAGGAAAAGTGGTTAAGATTGCACGGCTGTCTGTGTCTTATGTGTTGTGTTGTATTATTTTGTCATTTTATGTTAACTGTTCTTTTGATGGCGGCCCGGGCACCCGCAGCAGCTCCTCTTGTCTGGTTGAGAGAGAGGAAATTTCATCTGTGCTGTATGTTGCACATACACCGCATTTGACAATAAAGTTGCACTGGACTTGACTTGATTGCAGCTTGGTCATCCGATAAGGAAAATTCTCCCATCTATGGCCCCTTCTTAAGTTTTTTTTTTCGATTACTGGCTGTAATCCAATTTCATGGTATCTGCGGCAACATGGACACAGGCAATGGAGAAACTACAAAACTGTAAGTTGCATATCTTACTGTCATGTTTCCCAACTCCTGGAAATCGACGTACCGTTCATAGAATTGCTGTCATTCCTAAATGATCAATACTTTCGTTTTTGGGTGAAACCCTTTGTGCTATGTTATGTTACAACACCTTTACAAATTGTTGTCTTTGTTGTTCTTTGCATAACAACCCACTCCCTGTCATAACAGGAACGGGTTTCTCAATTAGGTGGTGTGCGCCTGCTGGAATGTAAGCGTCACCTCCCACCAAAAGAACATGTAGTGAGATCCCCTATTTGTGTGATCGCGTTGAATAAGTTGTTGTGAAATGAACGCCGGTCTATTTGACAGCTATTTAGCATCAGCCAAGTGTTTGTTATTTTTTATTTTCGAGGACGTCGTTCACCGCCTCGAACCCGCTGAGCCGCTTCCGTACTCACAATGTACTCCCGAACTTGGCTGTGGAAATTCTGCTCCCTGATAGTAACATCGTCTGCTTCCATTCTTCATATTGCAAATCCAGACTCCACTACATAGTCGCTCAAGGTGCGCCCTCTTCCTTCCTCCGAGCCGGATCGTGACTGGTTAAAAAAACGCTTTACGTCGGAGGAGTAGAAAGCCCGCTTCGAGGTGAGAGAAGAAAAAAAAACGATTCCAAAATATTTGACGTCATCATTAGGCGCCCATCGCGCTGGTTACACCGGAAGCACAATGACACGTCATCCGGGTCATATCCGTATACATCCATGGAGCCACATGTGTACGGATTCTCTTTTTCTTAATCGGTATATTTTTGTTATTCTTTTTATTTTTGTCTTCCTAATATTTGACAAAAAGCTGCTAGCATATTAGCATCTGCTCCGTTTTTTAACGTGGTATTTTGAACAAGTTTAGTGAGTCGAATGTAAACAGTGCGCTGCTGCTATGAAAGGCAAACGGAAGGGAAAGCAGAAGGGCAACGCCGTGTTGCAGAAGTACATGGTGGCGGTGGGCGAGTTCGTCAAGAACAAAAGTGGCGCCGAGGGAGCAGAGGATGACGCCGGTTTGAGGTCGGTCAAACGGAAAAGCAGAAAGGAACTCCGCAAGGAGAAGCGAAAATTGAAGAAAATCCGAATGAAAAGTCACTACGAAGGTAAAAAGAAAAATCTGCCCAGCGGCGATGGTGAACAGGCTGTAATACCTAAAAAACAGAAGGCAACAGGTGGCAACAAGAAGGACGAGGTCAAAAAAGTGCCAAAAACTAATGCAAAGAAACAAGAAAAGCCCAAAGTGGCACCGACGAAAACCAACAGGTACCAAGAGTCGAGGAAAAAGGCGCTTTTAGAGGCCAATGAACAAGAGGACCGAGAAATAAAGAAACTAGAGCGCTACTTGAAATTAAACAAGAGGAAAAACAAGAAAAGCATACCTCAGTCATTTGTGGCTGATGGACTGGACTATATCCTGGGTGCTCTTGACACCGGCACTTTGACCACGGGAATGTACGACAGCGATGACAACATGGACCTGGCCAAGGACAACTTTAAACAGCTGGAGGTGGACGACTTAGAGGAGGACGAAAAGGACCTCGCAAGTGATGGCGAAGATTTAACTGATGATGAGGGTGAAGTAGTGGAGGAGGAGGAGGAGGATGAATTACCAAGTGAAGATGATGAATCGATGGATGCCGAACTGGAGGACGAGAATGACATAAATGAGAATGAGGAAAGCGAAGAAGTTACAGAGCACGTTCCCACCCCTGTGAGTTCACAATTGTTACTGTCCACGGCATTTTGTGGGGGTTTATTTAATTTTTTCGTGTTGTGGTTAATTTTTGCATGTGTGCGGTAGCTTTTGGCTCCTCCCCAACTCCCACACTTGTTAGACCCTTCCCGAGTTGCCGTCAGGTGGTCTGGTCGTAACAACAGTACATGTTCAATCCTCATCACATCACAACTCATCCATGTCATGTATTGAAGGCTCATTTTAAATGCTAAATTTCTGTTCTTTAGGCGGCGGGCAAGTATGTGCCTCCTCACATGCGCGATGCTGGTGGCGAACAACGCAAAGCTGAGTTGGAGAAACTGAAGAAGAATGTGAAGGGCCTCGTCAACAGGTAACAACTGATTATTTACTCGTGCGACTCGAGGGCTGAAGTCAGGAATATCTGCACTTCTGGGCTATTCCTTCAATTTCACTCCACTGTGGGTGAATATCGCCAGTCTTTGGCAATGCCTAACGAAGAGAACTGAAAATGTTGCGTCGCCTATCTATGTAGTGCAGTGAACTCCTACTATTCGCAGGGGATAGGGACTGCGCCTTGCCGCAAATGGCGCGAATCTGCAAGTTCATACCAAAACCCCGACAGTACTTTGTAATTTTTCTTTATCCAGGCTGAGCGAGCCCAACATGTCGTCCATCGGCGGTCAGCTGGAGGCCCTCTACATGAGCCGCAGCAGGAAGGACATGAACGAGACCCTGACAGAGGTGCTGCTGGCCGCCTGCGTCACGCCGGCACTGATGCCCAACCGGCTGCTGATGGAGCACGTCCTCCTGGTCAGCATCCTCCATCACACCGTGGGCTTGGAGGTAATGATGAAACGTTCTTCTTGTCCTATGATTGTTAAATTCCACACTGGATGGATGGGCAGGCATTCCAGAGACAAAATTATTGATACAATTACATCTGAACTGGTTTGCTCCTTTTTAAAAGTGGTGGACACTCAGCTGAAATCTTTTTCGGCTGAATATAACGTCATGGAGGTTTTCCAGTTAGGTTTTAAGATGAGACGTAGTTTTTAATGACAACCTCTTGGCTAATGACACTGGGGACTCTCATATGGTGTTCCACAAGGTTCCTTTTTGGGGCCCCTGCTTTTTTCATAGTATTTGCTGCCCCCTGCTTCCTTCTGAAGAAAACGTGATATTTCCTGTCACTGCTTTGCAAAGTCAGTCAGATCCATGTCACACTTAGCCAAAAAGAATACTTTCTCTTTAAGGCCACTTGTGTCCTGTCTGGAGGAAGCTTGTGGAGGCTCTCAGTCGTACAGGAAAGTTCCATCGTAGAAAGGGTTCTGTCAGTCGTCATCTGTACCTGTGGGTAAAAAACAAAAAA